GAGACAGGGCCAGGGGTCAGGGTGGGGAGGCTGAGGAACTACCTCACACCTGGAATTCACAGACAGCCAGGAAGGAGGTGGAGCAGCTGATGTCGTTCCACAGCCCGTCTTGCGTGAGGACCACACAGTCCTCTCCCGAGCCATGGTCATTGGGTTCATCCTTCTTCCAGTTGCTGTAGGCCAGCCGTCCTCCCGTCACATAGGTGAACTGGCCTTCGATCTTCTCGTCTGTGATGCCCAGGAAGGCGGAGTCCTTGGCCACTTTCTGGATGGCCTGGTTCTCTTTGTCATTCCTGGGGGTAGCCACGATCGCCTGGTGCCCTTCACACAGCTCCTTCACCTTATGAAATGGCAACTTTTCCCCATTGGTCAAGTAGAGCTTCTGGCCTGACTTTTTGCCCAAGGAGAAGGCCTGCACTGAAAGCACAGGGTGTTGCGTTGGTCCAGCAGGCTGGGAACCTTGGCACTGGCAAGTCACTAGCAGACATCTCCTCCCGCCTACCCCCATTCAGGCAAGAACAGCTCTGGGCATGCCCAGCAGAGGGTGGAGCCTCAGACGTGCAGGTGCCACAGGAAGATATGCGGCACACTTGGCTGACAGCCGGATCACCCCACCTGGGAGCCAATCACTTGTCTGCTTAACACTGGGCGCAGGTGGATATAGGATGGTATGGCCAAGCCTTGCTGGCAAGCACACCCTGATGGCTGTGGAGGGGCAGTAACTTGAGGTGGCAGAAGCCTAGGTGTTGGAGAAAACAGACTTCCAGGAGCCTCCAGCCTGCCTCTGCCACACCCCAGCTCCCAGAACTCAAGTGAGCCACCTACACTTCCCACACCTGTTTTGCCTCACTGCTACGTTTAAATCAATATGAAAACCATGGCGAGGGCAAGTGAGAGGATGGAGTGAAACCACAGTGCGAGGGAATGCCAAGCTAGCATGGGTCTTGGCATAAAATGAGTGCTGTCTTCCACCCTCCCCCTCACCAAAACCGTTCTGAAGAAAACCCCGAGGCTGGGGACAGAAGCCAAGCTTACGTTTTTTGGTGTGGTCTAGTTGTGCTTTCAGGTTCCTTAGTTCTGACTCTAAGTTAGCCAGTTTAGCCTCGATAGCTACAAGGCAAATAGGGAGAAGGTTGGTTGGTTTGTTTGTGAGGAAAACATCACAGGGGGAGGGGTGTTTGACCTAGCCACTAAGATGCTGCATCAGGTGTAGGCAACCTGTATCAGAGAGGCTGGGTCTGGAGTTCTTGCCCTGACTAGCTTCCTGCTAATGCACACTCCACATGGCAGTGATTGTAGCTGGAGTAGTCGGGCTCTGCAGGCCATGTGGGAGATTGGGATTGAGTTGCCGGTTGCTGGATTCAGCCTGGCTCAGCCCCAGCTGCTGCATTGCTGACAATTGGACATTGACCTAACAGATGGGAGAGGGGACTGTCCTCTTTTGCTCTCTCTCTGCCTCTCTCTTGCTCTCTCTACCACGCAAATAAAAAAGGAATAAATTATATTAGACACCACATATTATAAAAAAATGACTTACTAAAAAGTCCATTTAAAAATTAAAACACAAAACTAAGCAAAAAGTAAAAATGTACTATAATCTTGCTTTTCCAGATATCTTAGTTGCTGTAACTATTCAGAATTATTTTTCTAGGTTCTAATCTCCTCATACTGCTTACACATTGTATCACACTGAGTTTATTTACTATTTCAAGACAATATATTTGAAAGGCAGAGCAAGAGAGAGAGAGGGAGACAAAGAAAGCTTCCATGCCCTGATTCACTCCAGATGCTCATCGTAGCCGGGACTGGGCCAGGCTGAAGTCAGGAGCCAGGAACTCCATCTTGCTCTCCTGTGGAGTTGCCAGGGACCCTATTTAGATACTTAGGCCATCACCTGCCATCTCCCAGGATACTCCTTAGCAAGGGGCTGGAGTCAAAGACCAGAGCTGAGAGTCCAACCGCTGGTGTGGATGTGGAATATCTTACATAGCAGCTTAACTTGATGCACCACAGCACGTGCCCATGTGTGACACTTCTCAAGAAAATATCCCACCCATTGCTCTCCTTTTTCTTCATGATTTTCTTTGTTCTTATTTTTTTTTCTAAAGTTGAGGGCAGATTTACAGAGAGCTTGAGAGCCAGAGCCAGAAAGAGATCTTCTGTCTATTGGTTCATTCCCTAAATGGTCAAAATCAGGAGGCCTTTGTGTCCTCTAGGTCTCCCACGTGGATGCAGAGGCCCAAGCGCTTCGGCCATCCTCCTCTGCCTTCCCAGGTGCATTAGCAGGGAGCAGCATAGGAGGTGAGCAGCCAGGACTGGAGCAGGAGTTCACAAAGGATGTCAGTACCACAGTTAGCAGTTTAACCTGACATGCCCCAGCTCCAGCCCCTCTTCATGATTTTTTTTTCACTTCTCATTCCAGGTCAACTCTTTGATGCTTTCATTGTTCTGGCAAGCCAGAGGGCAAATATCCATCAATAGGTTTTTATTTTTGCTCTCTTTCTTACTAATTTTGCTTTATTTTCCTCTGAAATCGACTGATCACTATCCAGTGAGCCAGACCGTTTGCAGAGACCCCTGATGACAAACAGCCCCCATGAGTCCAATTCTTCCTTTCACCACCCTGAGCCAAAAAAAAAAAAAAAAAAAAGCTGTCTCATGCAGAGGCCTGCCCAGGAAAAGAGCTTGGCAGGTTTGGGAAGTGTCTGTTCAGGCCCCTGTGATGCATCAGCAATCAGAGTGGATGAGCACCTTGCCATGAGGCCACAGGAGAAGGTGCCTCTCCCTCGTGGGCCTCCAATTCCCAGAGTTCCCAGGTCCCCTCAGGCCACACCACACTTCTTACCAGAATTGTCTCCTCTGTCTCCTTTTTGGCCTTTCAGTCCTGGAGCTCCAGGAACTCCTATGCTTCCTGGGGGCCCCATTTTTCCAGGAGGGCCCTGTATGCCTCTGAGACCTTGACCTGGTGGAAGACAGATTGTGAGACCCAGCAGCTGTGGCTCACTCTCTCCCTCAAAGACTGACACTGATCCCAAAAAGTAGCTCATGAGTTAATGGGAACCCAGAGGATGGTCTGTCCTGAGAGCCTCTGATGCCTCCTCTTCAAGGACAACCTCTCAACACCAATTTGTGGGTGTAACTATGGGATCACGGGGAGCCACAGAGCACCTGTGTCCTAGAGACCATTTCTAGGGATTATTCTGGGTCAAGACGAACAGGGAACCTTCATAGGTCTCTGTGATCCATCCTTCAGTGGCTCTACCTCCTGCTGGGGTGAAGGCTTTGGCAGCTAGAGCAGCACTGTCACCTTACCTGGCTCTCCCTTTTCGCCCTTGGGGCCATCTCTCCCATCTCTGCCAGGGGTGCCATTGGTAACTGGGACACTGCAGGCTACCACCGAGCAGGTCTTCTCAGCATCCAGGCAGGTTTTCGTTTCCGAAGATGCTCTCGCCACACACAGGAGTAGCACAGAGAGGAATGGAAACAGGTGCATGGTTCTAACCTCAGGGTCAAGGAAGACAATGACTTCTCATTTTGCACAGCCACCATTCCTTATTGCCTGCAGGGGATACAGGCTGTGCCCAGGCTGGCAGACGCACAGAGACATCACGACCTTTGGCCCTGAATTCGCCATGGATTACTAGGCAGACAGACACGTCTGAAACATCAGAGTCCATGGCAGGTATTTGGCACAGCAGTTAAGATGTCACCGGAAACCTCCACATCCCATAGTTAAGCACCCAATTTGAGTCTTGACCTGACTTTCAATTTCTGTTTCCTGCTAATGCAAACCTTGAAAAGCAGCAGATAATCACTCAAGTACTTGAATGATTGACCCACAGTGAGTTCCAGACTTTTGGCTTCATTCAGTTTGGCCCAGCCATGCCTAGTATATATGTGTATCCTTCAAATTAAATGAAAAAAAAAAAAAAACTAAACATTTTAAAATTTTTATTTTAAAATTGGGGCTGGCACCAACCTGTATGGGTGCCAGTCCATGTCCCAGCTGCTCCACTTCTGATCCAGCTCCTTGCTTATGGCGTGGGAAAGCAACAGAGAATGGCCCAAGTACCTGGGACTCTGTAGTCCTGTGGGAGACCGAGGAAGCTCCTGGCTCCTGGCTCCTGGCTCTTGGCTTTGGATTCTCTCAGCTCTAGTCATTGCAGCCATCGGGGGAGTGAACCAGGAGATGGAAGATCTTTCTGTCTCTCCTTCTGTATGTAACTCTACCTTTCAAATAAAATTTCTTTAAAAAAAAAAGAGATAAATTTAGTTTAAAATATCAGAGGCAGGGCAGTGTCTGCCTTAGTGGTTAAGACACCCACACTGTATATCTGGCTCCACTTCCAACTCATTTGCTACTGATGCAGACCCTTGCGGCAGCACTGATGACTCCTGCCCTGGGGTCACTGCCACCCACATGGGATTCTCAGGTGATTTCCAGGCCCCTGGTACAACCCTGTCATGGGGCCATTGTCAACATTTGGGTATGCCACCAGAGGACAGTGTTGATCTTTATGTCTCTCCCCATCTCCCCAGCTCTTTCCTCATCAAATAACAATACATTAAAAAAAAAAAAGAAAGACAGGTTGGTGCGAACGCAAAGATAGAAGCAAAGATGATAAGGATCTGCTCTGCCTTGGGTCCCCAGGACCCCACCCCTGTTGACACCAGGCTTAGTGGTCAGGTGCCTCATCTAGGGAGACTACAGAAGTCTAAAAGATGAAGAACTAGTCCTGATCCTGGCCCTTTGCCTCCAAGAGCCTCTCTTCATTTATTTACTTTTTTTCTTTTTAAAAAAGATTTATTTTTATTACAAAGGACAATTTCACAAAGAGAAGAAGAGAAAGAGAATCTGTTAGTTCATTCCTCCAGATGGCTGCAACAGCCAGAGCCGTGTCAAATGAAAGCCAGGAGCCTTTTCTGGGTCTCCCACAAGGGTGCAGGGTCCCAAGGACTTGGGTCATCCTGCACTGCCTCCCCAGGCCATAATCAGGGAGCTGGACTGGAAGTAGAGCTGCCAGGACACGAACCTGAATCCAAACAGGATGTCAGTGCTTGACATTACAGAATTAGCATATTGAGCCATAGTGCTGGCCCTACCTTATCTTTTTTTTTTTTTTTCCTTTCCTGGCCACAGAAGTCTTTGTTTCCATCTTCTGCCCTTTTCTGTGAACCCTATAGTAAGGGTCAACCTCTGGAGGTGATGAAGGCCCCACAGGGTCCATTGCTTGACTGGACCTGCTTTATGATATCCACTGTGTCATTTAGCGTAGGAGGTCTGTTTTACTTGCCAGAGCCCCAGCCACACTTAGAACCGCAGCTGTTTCCCAACAATCTGTCCATTCCCTCAGCTTTGTGATGGGCACTTGCTAGGGAGGCAGGATTCTTACCCTGAAAATGGAAGCTTCTTGGGTTGTTGCCTCTGCCTGGAGGATGTACATCTGTTCGCTTGAGGTTTTTCCACCAAGAGATCCTGTTTACCAGGGCAGACCTCAGGCCCCTGAGATGTCTGCTCAGGGGACCTGCTAGGGGCCAGCCCCTGCTTTCTCCTAGCAGAACTCTCTGCATCTTGCCCAGCTCATTTGGGGCTCTGTGTCCTCATCAGGCCTCTGCTCAAATCGGCCCCTCCTGCAGGAAGCCTTGGCAGCCCTACCTTCATGGGACTACTCCCAGGCTAAGCTCCCAGTCCCTGAATCCATGTCCCCAGCCCTGGCTGCTAACCACAGACTTTGCCCTGGCCTATCCCAGCCCCTCAGCTCCCTTGACCCTTCCCTTCCTCCAGGAATCAGTGAGAGGGAACTTTCAAGATCACATCATGTCCACCATTCTCTTCCTACTTTTTAAACCTCCCCTGATGATGGTCACATTCAAGGCTGGCACGCTTCATCATCACACACGCACACTTTGGAAAAGACAGCACTTAAGTTTGTGTGGGATCAAGTGGACCCAGAAAGGACACAGGTAAACCAGTTGAAGACCACAGAGCCCCAGGTGGGTATAACACTCCCACCACAGCCCCTGCCTGCACCTCACCAGGACAAGCCGAGAGGCCAGACCCTTAGCCCACTGTCCCCATCCCCCTCAACACTATTTTCCTCCAGAAACAACTTACTAGACAAGGATCCTACAGAGATGGTGGCAGGGAAGCTGGCCATCCAGCCCAGGCATCTGCTTCAGCAATGCCAGGCACAATCCACCCAGTGAAAAGGGGCGGCACTGAACTGACCTTCAACTCCAGATTAATGAACAACCATCTGTAGAATGTTTTTGGCTCCCTCTGGCAGGTAGCAACGGAGGAGTGTACACCTGCCCCAAGTCAAACCTGGCCAGACTGTGAGAAGAGAAGAGGCAGAGCCAGCCGAGAGAGTGAACGAACCATGGACAAGTTCAAGTGCCCGGGTTTCTTCAAGTGCAGAAGAAAGGAGAAAGTGACAATTTCATCTGAGAACTTCCGTGTTGATGAACATGATGAGAATCAAGAACGTGGTAACTGGTCCAAAAAATCAGACTATCTTCTATCTCTGATAGGATATGCAGTGGGCCTGGGAAATGTGTGGAGATTCCCATATGTGACTTATAACAACGGTGGAGGTGCCTTCTTGATACCTTACGCAATTATGCTTGCCTTGGTTGGTTTACCACTGTTCTTCCTAGAGTGTTCAATGGGGCAGTTTGCTAGCTTGGGTCCAATTTCCATTTGGAGGATTCTTCCATTGTTTCAAGGTGTGGGAGTTACAATGGCCCTGCTATCCATTTTTGAGGCGATCTGTTACAATGTCATTATTGCCTATAGTCTTTACTACTTGTTTGTGTCTTTTCAACGTGAAGTGCCATGGAAATACTGCTCTTCTTGGTCAGATGACAGCTGCAGCAGATCGCCTATATTAACTTGCTGTAATGTAAGTACTGGAACAAGGGAAATCATCAAAGTGAATAAAACCTGGATTGACATCAACAATCTGACCTGCATCCCTGGGAGTGAGATTTATCAGCCAGGGCAGCTTCCCAGTGAGCAGTATTGGCATAAAGTGGTGCTCCAACGATCCAGCGGAATAGATGAGACTGGAGTCATTGTATGGGAGTTAGCACTTTGTCTTCTTCTGGCATGGCTCATCGTTGCAACAGCACTGTTTAAAGGAATCAAGTCTTCTGGCAAAGTGGTTTATTTCACAGCTCTTTTCCCCTACGTGGTCCTACTCATCTTTTTAATACGAGGAACAACCCTGGAGGGTGCATCCAAAGGCATTTCGTACTACATTGGCTCACAGTCGAATTTTACCAAATTGAGGGAAGTGGAGGTTTGGAAAGATGCTGCTACCCAGATATTTTTTTCTCTCTCAGTGGCTTGGGGTGGCTTAGTTGCTCTATCATCTTACAGTAAATTCCATAATAACTGCTACTCTGATGCCATTACAGTTTGTTTGACAAATTGCCTCACAAGTGTGATTGCTGGGTTTGCTATTTTTTCTATCCTGGGACACATGGCTCATATATCCGGAAAGGAAGTCTCTCAAGTCGTAGCATCAGGTTTTGATTTGGTATTCATTGCTTATCCAGAAGCTTTAACCCAGCTCCCAGGAGGCCCATTTTGGTCCATATTATTTTTCTTCATGCTTTTGACTTTGGGTCTGGATTCTCAATTTGCTATTGTTGAAACTATTACAACATCGATTCAGGATTTGTTCCCCAAGTTGATGAAGAAAATGAGGGTTCGTGTAACTTGGGCTTGTTGCTTGGCTTTGTTTCTCCTTGGTCTCATGTGTGTGACCCAGGCTGGCATTTACTGGGTTCTTCTGATTGACCACTTCTGTGCTGGGTGGGGCATTCTGGCTGTAGCTATACTGGAAATAGTGGGGGTCATCTGGATTTATGGAGGCAACAGGTTTATTGAAGATATAGAAATGATGATTGGCACAAAGAGATGGTTCTTCTGGCTGTGGTGGAGAGCTTGCTGGTTTGCCATTACACCTATCCTTTTGATGGCAATTCTAGTCGGGTCACTGGTACAATTTCAGAGACCTAAATATGGCCAAATTCCATACCCCGACTGGGGAGTTGCTCTAGGCTGGTGTATGATTATTTTCTGCCTTATTTGGATTCCAATTGTGGCTGTCATAAAAATAAGTCAGGCTAAAGGGAGCATTTTTCAATGCATTGTAAGCTATTGCAAACCAGCTTCTAACTGGGGTCCATACCTAGAAAGACATCGTGGGGAGAGATACAAGGGCATGGTAGAGCCTAAAAGAGAGGTTGACTTTGAAATACCTACTGTTCATGGCAGCAGTAGCCCAGAATGAGATCTCAATTATATGTGTATATATATATATATACATATACATATATATACACACATACACATATTCACACATATATAGGTATGTATGCATTTGCAAAAGTGATCCTTTGAGATTATGGTGAAACTCTTTTTACTAATAATTATTTATAACAATGAAAATTTTTCTCATTTACCTAAGACTATCATATGAAAATATCATGATGCAGTTTCATGCTCTTGGGAATTTCCCCTTCTACCCTCCCTGTTTCTCCACCACTTGCACTATTTTTCCCTATGTTATTACAATAGTGTGGTTATTCAACAACAATCATGTTTATTTCATTTTAGTTTAACTATTTGTATAAACACATCACAGTTTATATTTTACAAGAACATTTTTGCAAATATCACCACAATGCTAATAAAGAGGCTTCTTTTGAAAAAAAAAAAAAACTATTTGAAAGTTAAATAGGCAGAGACTAAGAGGGGGACAGAGAGAGAGAGAGAGAGAGAGAGAGATCTTCCTACATCTTCCTTCTGCTGATTGACAGCCCTGGGTGGCCACAATGGCTAGCAATGACCAGGGTCAAAGCCACGAGCTTCTTCAAGGTTTCCCACATATGTGCAGGGGTTCAAATACTTGGGCCATCCTCTGCTGCTTTCCCACATGATCAGCAGAGACCTGGATTGGAAGTGGAGCATCTGGGCCTCAAACCAGCATCCCTAGATGTTGGCACTACAGGAGGTGGCTTAACCTACTATGCCATGGCACCAGCCCCTATACTGCCTTCCACCTTGCTCATACCGCCCTCACATACAAACTGGTCTTCACCCTTGGCAACTCTGGTTGCTAGAACTACAGGCTCTCGGCACAGTGCCCTCTGGTACTTCTATCTCATGAAAGCAGCAGGTAGGCTTGCATCTTCTTGTCTCCCTGGGGTGCAAGCCAGGGCTGGGCACATAAGACATGTTGTGGTATGAGAGGGAGGAGAAGCAGACCCCAGGGGGAGAGCAGCAGGTCTGTGATTCTCTTAGCCCAGGTTCCCCAGGTCACCCATGCTTATCGCCAGAGCCTGATCAAGTGGGCCAAGTCCCCGATGGCATCTTTGAGGCCCACGTTGCTACACTCATGCTCACTTCTCAGAACTCTCCAATCCCACCAAACAACTCAAGAGGTTTGTTTTCCTGCTGCTGATAAGCAGGACTGAGTCATTCCCCTCGGGTTTCGTCTTACAGTTGGCATGTTGGCATCTGAAGGGTCATTGACCTTGATGTCCTCCAGTCACCATGCCTATGTCCACTGCAGGAAAGCTGCTGGGAACAAGGAGAGACTCCATTTACAGAAAATCCTCAGAGCTGCATTTCCTGGCACTACCCATATGACAATGCAGAGCTGGGGGCTCAGAGGACAAAGACTTCAACCCCTGGGGCAAATAGGCAAGCCTTCCTGAAGCATGAGGGTTTACATAAAACCCAAAGCCTGCCCTGGCCACAGGCTTACACAAAGAGAGGTCTTTGAGAGAGCAGAAGGGGAAGGAGAAGCACGCCCATGAGCAACAGGACAAGGAAAAGGCCTGCAGTTCCGTGGGGGATTCCCCTTGAAGAAGGTTGGTGGTCTCATGGTTTGAATTTGAGCCACGGTTGTTGCTCATCATCATCGTTGTCATCATTATCATCAGCACCCTCATCATGGTTGTTGCTGCTATTTATACCAAGGTGAACAATTCTTTTCCAAATGTCCCAGTTCATCATGGCCTCATGCACGGCAGCATGTGAAAGTCATAAAGAATCTTACTCTTCATCCAGACACTCCAGGATTCTGTCCAAGGGAGCTTGCAGAGATGTGAGTTCACCTTGTAAAAGTGACCACGTGCAATTGGAAAGCAGTAAAGAGTTGACAAAAGGAACATACCTCAGAAACTGTGGATGGTACACTCCTGGCAAATTAATACACAGTTGGCTCTCCATATCCAGGAGTTTACAATCAGACGCAAATCAAAATTAGGAGCACAGTCAGGACTACAATGAGTATATGTGCACTGAATATGTATAGACTTTTTCCTTACCATTATTCCCTGAACAATACAGTGTAACAACCATTATGAGGCGTCTCCATTGTCTTGTGGGCTATGGTTTAAAGTATTTGAGAGGATGTGTACAGCAGGCATGCACTGTACATCACTGTGCATAAGAGACAAGAGCATAGGGGGTCATGAAATTGATCCTCCAACCACACTGAGAGATGATTGTATTTTTATATATGTGTGTCTATGTATATATATCAGAGTGGAACTTCGAGTCCTGACTGCTCCACTTCCTACCCAGTGTCCTGCTAACATGCCTGGGAAAGCAGAAGAAGATGATCCAAGGGCTTGAGTTCCTGACACCCATGCAGGAGACCTGGCTGGTGTTCCTAACTTCAGCCCTGACCATTTTTGCTATTTGTGGAGTGAGCCAGCAGACAGAGTATCTCTGTGTCTCTCTTGCTCTCCATTTGTCATTCTGCCTTTCAAATAAATGAATACATCTTTTTTTTTTTAAGTGAAAAGAGATGCATAATTAAGAAACAGTTATTCAATGAGTGAATTAGAATAAGGAAATAACTATACAGCTAGTAATTTAAAAAAAAAAAAACTCCTGGTTTTTTGCAAGAAAACATTAATTGAGCCAATATGACTGTGGTCGTTTGAGTTGTTTCTATTTTTTACTTCTTCCTTCTTATGCAGTTATGTAACCATGCCCATTGCCAAAGTGCTTTTCAAAGGTGCCCATGACAGGGTGTAGAATAAACACCCAGCCCCTTTGATTTCAGACTAGTCATGTGACTGGAGCAAGAGCCTCTGCTGTTTGCTTCCTGATTGCGGAAGGGGGTAGTGGATGGTGTCCATGGTAACCACTAACATTAGGATGACGACACGATCAGGGGTAGTCACAAGCTTGCCGGAGAACCCAGCAGCCGGGACCCTGCAGCTGTATCCCAGCAACCTCTGTTGAGACTGGCAAAGCTCAGGAAACTAGATGACCCAGAGAGAGTCATCAAACTGTGTGGTGGCAAGCACCTGAGAGGGAGGCGTGTGGTTGCTGGTGTAATAGCAACAAGAAGTCTAAAATGTGTAAGGAATAAACATCTGAAAGGAAAAGGGGACATCACACAAACATAGATGGTACTAACACTATAAAATCATGTTATGTAAAGTAGACTCCATGCCAATATATCTGAGACTTAGAAAAATATGCCAGAAGACCATTTGGAATTGTCTAAGTTGTCCCCAATGAATGTATCACGAGTCAGGATGTATAGGAATTGGATGCTTTGGCCCAGAGGTTAAGATGCCCACACCTAATACTGGAGTGCCTGGATGTAATGCCCACCTCCGGTTCCCCCTAGTTGCCTGATAATGCAGACTCTTGGAGGCAGTGGGGACAGCTTGAGTGGCAGTCACCTGCAAAACCTTGGCTCAGTAGCTGGCCCCCAGCTTCACCTCAGGCAGGCACAAGCTAGTCCTACTCACTGTGAAGTACCTGGGGAGTTGATCTACTTGAAAAATTGTTCTCTCTATATATCTCTCTCTCTCTTCCCCTCTCTGTGTCTACCCCCTTTCTGCCTATCATGTTTTGTTCTTATTTGTTTAAATTTTTTATTGGAAAGGCAGATTTATAGAAAAAAAGGAGAAAGAGGATGATCTTCCATCTGTTGGATCACTCCCCAAATGGCTGCAAAGGCCTTTCAAGCTAAGCCAACCCGAAGCCAGGAGCCAGGAGCTGCCATGTGGGTGCAGGATCGCAAGGCTTTGGGCCATCCTCCACTGCTTTCCCAGGCCATAAGCTGGGTGCTGGTTGAGAAGTGGAGCAGCCAGAACACGAATCAGCACTGCAAGGTGGTGGATCAGCCCAACTGAGCTGTCATGTGTCTCCTCCCCTCCATCTTTATTTTTAAATGTTTTATCTCAGAAGAAATGGGGGTTCTTTCTGGAGACAAGATATACAGGTGGCTGCCTCCACAAGCAAGAAGAGATGCTGGCCCATTCCCACATGTCGCTGAAGGGTGCCACCTGGTCCCATGTCACGACGACCTAAGACTGAGATGGAGCCCTGCATGGCATTTCCCATTGCTGAGCAGTGAAACACTTCCACATGGCTAAGCAGGGGCGGAAGGCATTCCGTCACCGCCACTAATGCACTCTGTGGATTTGGCCCCAGGATTGCCTTGGTGCCAGCCATCAAAATGCCTGCCCAAATATCCCTCCAAGAATGTCTCTAGTTCTCCATCTCTCCGTACACCAGAAGAAGGAGACCAGCTCCCCTTTTCAATGCTTCCAGCAAAGCAGGACTCAAAGCCAGTGTTAGTTTGATTTATAAAAATTCGGAAGTATGATGTTGCTCATGTTGACAGATGGGGGTAGTGATGAATGTGAGCTCCAGGGGTCAAGGAATGAGTGCTCGATCTAACAACACTCAGAACACTGAACTTCTCAAAGTCTCAACTTATTCATGTTTTATAATGGTGGAAAATAACAACACCGAACCTAGGCATTATGAAAAGATTTGATCATGTTTAATAAGATGTGTCAGATATGCCTGTAAAGGTAGTTGATATTTAGGATGTGCTCATCAAGAAGTCTCTCTTTGTAACTGTGTTTATGGCAGGTAGAGGGATGGTGAACACATAAGAAAAAGGAGTACTTTATCCTCATTAGGTAGATGAAGAAATAGGTTGAGGAAAGACAAATATCTCCAGGTCTGCCTCCAAGACAGGATCTGGTGCTCATTATATTTTAATGAAATGTTAGATTGAATGAATTTACAAAAAGATAAAGAGCAGAGCCAGAGGTGTAGAGTGGAGTGGTGTGAACATCTCACCCAGGCTCTGAAGTGTAGTGGGATTTGTCCACAACCAGGAAATCACCCAGGTTCTTTTAGGGTGGGGGTAGAGAGCAGGTTCTTCTGCTCCACAGCCCCCAGAAGCCTAGGCTGGCTGTTTGTAGGTCAAGGGAGTGAGTTGGCACTCAAAGACTCAGGAGAATGTATCGCGCCTGCCAGTCACCAGGGTCAAGTTGACCACTGCCCCCTGCACTTCTTGGAGACCACACATGCCTGGGAGACCCCAGAGACAGCCCCGCTTGCATGCTTTCCTAAAAGTATGTCTACCCATCTAATCAAAAGCAACCATGACTGCAAAGTCTTGCCGAGACTGGCCAAAGGGTGTGCCACAGTGGATAGACAAGTCGAGCGGGCAGGAAGCAGGCAGTCTCTGTGCCTTGAGAGGCTCCTTCCATCCAGCTGCCATCTGTGAGAGAAGGAACTGGACAAAGTGAGGATGGAGGAGGAGGACTCTGCCTCGTGCTGCGGTCAAGGTTAGTGAAAACCCTTGTGTTCTAAGAATGGGTTCAAGGGGAGTGTCAAGACTGATCAGTGATCATAGGGGCAACAGCCAGAGCCCAGCTGGGGAATGGAGTGGCTAAGGAGGCCTCCAACTCTAATAGCTACAAAGCAATTTCATTTGTAAGGAGTTACAGCATCTCATAGGCCATGGGGATCCTTGCCTGAAAGGCAAGGCAGCGTGTTATGCATCTTGTGGCCTACACGCATGGTTGATCAGAACTCACAGATGACCAGCCGGTACTGCAGGCAACTCTTGTCATTCCACTTCCCATCTGTGTACATCTCCACGCATTTCTCCCGGCCTTGACCTCTGGGCTCCCCCGTGTACCAGTTGGTGTAGTTCACGGGGTCCCCATCCAGGTAGTGGAAGTCTCCAGGGTTGGGGCCTTCAACCAGGCCCAGGTAGGCATAGGTGTTACGGTTCTTTACAATACTTGCAATGGCCTCGTTCTCCTCTGCATTCCTCGGGGCAGCAATGTGACCACCTGCTTGAGCACACAACTCTTGAGCGGCATCAAAATTGACTGACTTCCCATTGGTAGAGAAGATCTTCTCTCCCACAGCCAGTACGGAGCCCTGCAAACTGAGAACTGAAAGGAAAGAAGTCAAAGTCAGCCATGAAGTCCCTCTTCCTACCTGGGACTCTCTGCCATTCAATTCTCACCAGTCCCATCTTCATCTCTGCCTCTCTCTGGCCCTTCTCTCCCTCCCTCTTCTTAAATCCATCTCTACTCTTTCAGCTACCCATCCACTCGTCCACTTAGCAATCATTACCAGAAACCAAGAGTGAATAAAAGTACGAATTTGCTGTCCTGAGACATATCTGTCTCGCCTGGGCACAAGATGTAAGAAAGAGAAAGGAGCATTTATCCACTGCCCCCTAAGACCTCCGTGTCTGCATTTCTCAGTTGGGTCTTTTTTTCCAAAGGCTGGTGCTAAGGATGAGGGGAGCATGTGGGATGCCCCCCTCCACACACACAAACACTTGGGGGGATCCCCTTACCTCCCATCGACTGCAGGATCTGGTGTCTGAGTTCGTGGAGTGTGCTTTGGAGCTCCTCATCCATGTAAGCTGGAAGCCCTGTGGAGAAACCGCCCCTCCCCCGGCCCAACCAGGATGAGAGACAAGCCTTACAAATAGCCCCATGTGCTGCCAAGAAGTGGCTTTGCCTTCTGCAAGCCTGGAACCCCATCCTTTTACTGTCCAGACCCCCAACTTACAAGGCTCTCCAAGGCTGGAGGGATTCTACCGTGCACCTGCTAAGCTCCTATCGTCTTGCTCTTCTTTCCTGCAGCAGCTCTTAAAGGGCTTTGCGTTTCCAGCTCTGCGGGGCATTCTGGCTAACACGCAAGGCCACAGTGCTCACTTTCCCCCTCTATTAAGGGTAAATGTGGCTGTCTCTGCACTTCCCCTGAGCACCCTGACTGCTACTCAAAGCATCAGTGCTCCTTGCTGTAGGCAAGGCTCCCCATCACATGCTCTGCCAGCATCCCTAGTCTGCAAGCCTCCCTGGACCTTGCAGAATTCCCCAGCACCTCTGCTGCAAGAAGTGCCTCCTCCTCTGTCTCCCAGGGCTGTCCCTCTCCCCATACCCACCCTGTGTTTTCTCAGTGGTTGTGATGCATGGGCCCTATTCTAACCTGTTACCACCTGAATTGTGACCACACTACCCATGCACATCTGATTTCTCCCCTGCAACTCACACTCTGCTTAGGCTGACCACTATACTCTGGAGCCTCCTGTGGCTTTTTTACAGGTTCCCAGCAGTTCCCATGGAACTGACAGCATGAGCACCATGTCACCACTGCCCTGATGGTGTCTGCATCAATACCACTACCCCACTCACCTGGAGGACCTCTCTCACCAGGCTCGCCTTTGTCTCCGCGTTCCCCAGCAACACCAGGGGCTCCGACCAGCCCATCCCGCCCAGGGAGACCTGGCATTCCTCCAGGGGGGCCCATAGGGCCTGCAGAAAGAAGGGAACACAGTGATGGGGACCCTACCCAGACCAACCCATTTCCCACCCCTCAGGTACCTTGGGAATGGACTTGCACCACATCCCAGCCTAAGGGTCCTAAGGAACTTCCGCCAAGTCTCAACCACATTGGGCCCAGCCGGGGTCTGCCATACCATACCTGGGGGCCCAGGGTCTCCTTTGACGCCATCCCTCCCATCTCTTCCAGGCAGCCCATGGGTCCCGGGAGCTCCTGGGATGCCGGGGCTTCCAACACAAACATCGTTCACATCGCCCATGATGTTAGAGACCGCCAACGAGATGAGGATGAGGGCCAAAGAGAACAGCAACATGGCCTCCTCTCTGGTAGCTTCTTCTGCCTAAGGATAGGGCCAGGTAGCATGGATTTTTTTTTTCTGGGCTCAGACAAGAATGCTGCAAAGACCCAGACTCCCCAGGGACATTACCAGCATCATACGGAGGCTTAGCACAGCCTGCTGCCTCGTCCCTCTGGCACAGGGCACAGGGCAGAGTGATCCCTGAGCAGGTGCACAGGAGTGCAGAGCTCTGGAAGACTGGGGGTCTGGGTTCCCATGGAATCTTCTCTGTTAGTGCCTTGCTGTGTGGCGTCAAGGAATTCCTTCATTCTCTAGTCTTAGCTGGGTCTCCCGTGCTCTGAACTCCCGCCCGTCCTTGGGCTATTAGCAGGAAAGACGTGGTGTATGCATTTTGCCAGTCATTCCATCTGCCCCTCCTACTCTAAGTCACCTGAGATGCACAGAGATGACCGGGGCCCATGGCCTAGTCTTCCCTAAAGGTGGTCAGCAACAGAGGAGCTCTCTGTCTCAGCCCAGCCTGAGGCTGCTTAGCTGGCCCCCAGGCACTGGAGAAAAGCAAGGGGATGCTTTAGACTCACCTGCACACAGAGCCCCCGGGCTATGCAGATGTCTACCTCCAAGCTCAAGGAGGAAGGCAGACAGGTCCCTATATAGTATGTGGGTCTCTTTGCTAGCTCCCTAACCCTGCGGGTTTCCCGTCACGAGGGCTTCTGCTGGGTGGGGGGAGGGCAGAGCAGGAAGCAGCCTTCTTGTTTGCCTAGCTCTAGGTTTCCCCACAGAGCTCTCAGCTGAAGCACCCTTGGAGGAAGCACAGAACTTGCCAAAGAGGAGCTACAGGGGATGTTTCTCCCACTCTGCTCCCAACAAGCCCCTCCACAGTGAAAAGCGAGAGCCCTCAGCTACACTGCCAAGGAGCCCACCTGGTCCCACTTTGCCTGTGAGACAGGGCAGAGGTTATTGCTCAAGGACAGCAGTCCTGGCTGAACTATAATACACCGTGCCTCCTGGGGTGTAGCTCAGCACCCCAGGCTTCCAGGGAAAGGAAGGGGGGAGGGCAAGATTTTCCATCTGCTAGTTCATTCCCCAAACGGTTGGAGCTGAGCTGATCTGAAGCCAGGAGCTTCTTTCTGGCTTCTTCCAGGGTCTCCTTTGCAGGTGCAGAGTCCCAAAGCCTTGGGCCATCCTCCACCTGCTTTCTCATGCCACAAGTAGGAGATGGATGGGAAGTTGAGGAGCTGAGACACAGACCGACTCCCACATGGGATGCCAGAGCTTGCAAACAGAGGATTAGCCAATTGAGCCATTGTGCTAGCCCCTCAAATATATTTTTTTAATTTTTAAATATTCAACAACAATATTACCAAGTCAAATGCCAAAATATTGGGGTGTAATTTGACAGAATGTGTGTGTATGCCAAAAACTGCAAAGGATGGAGAAGAGGTACAAAAGACAATTCAAATACCTGGAGAGATATTGTCTTCATGGACTGGAGTAACCCAACACAATAAATATGTTAATGTCCTCAAATTGATAGACAGGTTTAATCCAACTCCTGTTGAAATCCCAAAATGATCTTTTGTAGACCCTGACAAGAGCATTCTAAAACTTGTATGGAATGGCAGGAGGACTACAATTTTGAAAATGGTGAGGAACTGGAAATAATTGCTCCCATGTTAGGACTATGGCAGAGCTAAAATAATTTAAACTGTGGTGTTGCACTGCAATTAGAATAGTAATACCCATGTATTATATCCTTGAAAACAGCAGGGAGAGTACATCTTAAGTGTTCTTAGGGCTGGCACAATGACTCAGCAGGTTAAACTTCCACCATAAACAGGGAGTTGGAATGGAAATGGAACAGCCAGGACTTGAACCTGCACCCAAATGGGCAGAGGCTTAGCTTATCACACCACAGTGCTGGCCTCTTTGTAATACTATTATAGTGCAGTAGTACCAAGAACTCTATGATTTTATAGACAGAAAAGTGTGAGTTGTAGCAGAAATTTAGAATAGATTCATAAGAATTATTTTATTTGAGGGCCTGGTGCTATCCCTCTGTGGCTAAATCCTTGCCTTGTACTAGCTGGGATCCCATAAGGATGTAGTTTGTGTCCTGTCTGCTCTGTTCCCATCCACCTCCCTGCTTGTGGCCTGAGAAAGCAGTGGAGTGTGTTCCAAAACCTTGGGACCTGGCAACACATGTGGGAGACCCAGAAGAAGCTCCTAGTTCCTGGCTTCAGATCAACCTACAAAGCATTGTGCTTCTGTGTCAAGATTATCCGTTGACCATTTATTTATCATGCACCTGCCTAGTGTGGGCCATATTGTTAGCCAGTATGACAACAAAACACAAAGATCAAATCTCTGCTTATTTTTCCTTCTCCATCCTTAACTCCGACAAGCATATCATTGTTCAGTATCTGAGCCATACCTTCACTTCCCTGGCTATGTTCTTCCTCCACATTAGCAGTCTCTGCTCCACCAACTTCTCTGTGTCTGACTTGCCATTGTATCCCTTAGTCACCCTGTAATATCCAAATGGTATCCAATCTCCAATTTCTATTCCCAGTGACCCTCCTGTACAGATACTATGTTTGCTTCAGAGCCCTCCTGATATTCCCCAAAATTATTTATTTGAAAATCAGAATGATGGGGAGATATCTTCCATCTACTGGTCCACTCTATAAATGCTTTCAACAGCCAGGCCTGGGATGAAGTCACCAGCCAGGAATTCCATCTGAATCTCTCACTGGGGTGGCAGGGAGTTGAGGTCTTGGGTCATCATTTGCTGTCTCCCAGGCACATTAACAGGAAACTGTTGGAATCATGGAGTAAACTGGGACTTGAAACAGGAACTTCCAACTGGGATGCAGGTACCCTAAGCCTTGGCTGCTGTGCCACAATGCCCAACCCACTCCTGCATTCAAGCAGTCTTTTGAAGTGTATAATGAGCAGTGTTAAGTATATTTCCAGTGTCAGTTGTTGAGAGTATTTTGGTCTTGCCGAACGGACAGTAATCCACTGAGTAACAGCTCCCCAGCCCCCAACCCTTGCCATCCATCATTCCACTGCCTGCATCTGTGGATCTAACTACTGCAGACACTTCATGTAAGTGAAATGGTATGATGTTTGTCTTTTATATGTAACTGGCTTGTTTCACTTAGCATAATGTCCTCAAAGTTCTTCTCTGCTTTAACATGTGGCAGGATTTTCTTCCTTTGTAAAGCCGAACAATATTCAGTTGCTGTGTTGATGCCACATTTTGTTCATGCACTCAGCTGTCAATGGCATAGATTATTCTTTCTGGAATCTTGACTCCTTTTATTCCAGCACTCATATCTTGCTTTCATTGATTCACAGTTTTCACGTTTCTTTTCCTCCTCTGTCTCCCTGTCTGCGTGTTTGTCCATTCATCCTCCCATCCCTCCAACAAATGTTTATTGAGCGCCCCCTATCGTCCAGGCACTGTATTACATGCGGGACGTATATTAGTGAAGCACATAAAGTCAAATCAAGTAACAAGATTCCCTATCCTATTCACTTGCATTCTGAGAAGGGAGATAGAGCAGTAAGAGAAGGGTACAATGTATAAGAATGTAACATGTATTTAGTACATGAAAATGAAATGGAGGAAGTGGCATGGGGTTAGGAAGTGCTGGATTAAAGGGAAAACGCTTTTAGAAACACAACAGTTTCCAAGAGAGGAGGGCAGAATGAAAGCCCTGATGTGGAGCCTATCAGGGGAAGTGGACAGAACACCCAGGAGGCCAGGGTCACTGAAGCAGGTGGAATAAGGGGACCTGCACCCGCGTGGGAGACCCGGAAGAAGTTCCTGGTTCTTAGCTTTGGATCGGCTCAACTCTGGCCGTTGTGGTCACTCAGGGACTGAACCAGTGAATGAAAGATCTTTCTCTCTGCATCATTTTCTCTCTGTAAATCTGACTTTCCAATAAATAAATCTTTTTTAAAAAAAGGTGTGTGTCTAATTTGTAGATTATTACCTGGAAGAATATTCTTTGAATGGATGACGAGTGTGCTCTGCGTTAATCACATCTGTGCAAAGAAAATATCTCCAAGATGAGCCTGGTCAGCACAGAATAACCAAAGAGGCCTTCCTGTCTCTGAACGCTGCACTGTTACCCGTGCCATCTCAGACTGTCCTACACCTCTTGTGGGTGCGATTCACAAAGCACTCACATCGGGCTCAAGCAAGGTCCACGGCTCGTGGCTTGGCTCAGCTAGCCACAACTCTTGCTTCTCACCTTCCTTTGCCTGGCAGATCTCTCCTTGTCTGTTCTCGCTGTGATATTGTGTTTTGAAGGAACCTCTCCACCCTTCCCTTAGGTTAATTAGCTGTCCTACGGTGGCTGCCTGCAAATGGCACTTAAACGTGCTGTATTAAAATTACATGATTCCTTGGCCCGGTGCGGTAGCTTAGTGGCTAAAGTCTTCACCTTGCACATCCCAGGAGCCTATGTGGCTGCTGGTTCCTGTCCTGGCGACCCTGCTTCCCATCCAACTCCATGCTTGTGGTCTGGGAAAGCGGTGGAGGATGTCCCAAAGCCTTGGGACCCTGCACCATCATGGGAGACCTGAAAGAAGCTCTTGGCTCCTGGCTTCGGATTGGTTCAGCTCCAGCCATTGTGTCCGCTTGGGGAGTGAATCATCAGACAGATCTTCCTCTCTGTCTCTCCTCCTTTCTGTATATTTGACTTTCCAGTAAAAATCAGTAAATCTTTTTTTTAAAATGATCTGGCAAGGGCTAGTGCAGTGGCACAGCAAGCAGGTGACCCTGCTGCCTGCGATGCTGGTATGCCATGTGAGCGCTGATTCTAGTCTTGGCTGCTCCGTTTATGATCCAGTTCCCTGCTAATTGCTTGGAAAAAGCAGTAGGAGATGGCCCAAGTTTGGGGGCCACTGCTACCCACATGGATGAACTAGATGAAGCTCCTGGCTCCTGGATTTGACCTGGCTAACTCTAGGCCTTTGAAGCCTCTTGGAGAATGACCAACAAATGAAACTTAGTTCACTCTCTTTTTTTGTCACTCCCTCACTTTAAGTCTTACTTAAAATTAAGTGAGTAGGGACCCGGCACCATAGCCTAGCGGCTAAAGTCCTTGACTTGAACATGCCAGGATTCCATATGGATGCCGGTTCTAATCCCAGTAGCCCCACTTCCCATCCAGCTCCCTGCCTGTGACCTGGGAAAACAGACAAGGATGGCCCAAAGCCTTGGGACCCTGCATCCATGTGGGAGACCTAGAAAAGGCTCCGGGCTCCTGGCTTCGGATCAGCGCAGCTCCAGCTGTTGCAGCCGCTTGGAGAGTGAATTATGGGATGGAAGATCTTCCTCTCTGTCTCTCTTCCTCTCTGTATATCTGACTTCCCAATAAAAATAAGTCTTAAAAAAATAAGTAAGTAAATCTTAAAGGAAATAAAGAAAACAAGCAAGGATCTAGCGGACTTGTGCACAGTGAGCTATGGGGTGTGACTGGCTGCGAGGGAATAGACTCTGTCTCCAGGAGTGTTTCTGTCTGAACACGAGAAAACAGAGCTAGTGGTTCTTGATTTGAGGGAATTCACAGAGCAGAGAGAAGAGTGGAGAAGAAAAGGCAGTGGAGGACCAAGGAGCCAGCCCAAACATCTCAAAATTCCA